AAAAAGCTTACGTATATATGTAAGAGTTTAAAATTAAATACAATATTTTTGATTTAAGCTACATCTGATTTAGGTCACAATTGAGTGAATGACCTAAATATATCAGAGGAAAGGCAACATTAACTTCAAAAGAATGCTAGTGATAACAAGTGGTAAAATTAAAGATGTTGTACAAGCAACTTCAATATAAATAAAATGAGAACATCATCAATGTAGTCAAAGTCAAGCCGATACATTATTAAGGATAACTCAAAAACTACTGGTCGGATCCTAGTTAAATTTATATGGGACCACATGAGAAGCATCAGCTTTCAAATAAAAAAACAATCATCAAAATCGGTTCAACTAGAAGTAAGGTCTGAGATAAAACCACACATTAAAAAAATACAATTTAATTAAGAACCTCCCCCATTTTTTGAAGTCGGTTAAAATTGAGATCTCTAAAAAGAGACATTGTTAATCTTATTTCCAAAATTCCACAATAAAAATGCAAATTTATGTAGAATTTTACATTAGCATAATAACATTTTAGAAAACACAAATTTTCAACATAAAAATTATAAACCTAATTGAACTGAACTGCAATAGCATACTCCGTCATGGTCTGCGAAGCTCAACAATCACAATACTACCTACATAATTACACCCAAATAGCACATTAACCTTACTGGAAATAAGTACAATAAAACCAAAAAAAACTTATAAGTGGGTGGGTTTTGATTTTTGTATATTTTGAGCATGACATTCATTAAGAACATTTTTTATGTGGCAGAGCCACACTGCAGCTACATTATGGTTGTAGCACAAATGGGTCGGCTCCACAGGGGAAGAATAATTCCCTTACAGAATACCAGCGTAAAATAGCAGCTTAATGCTTCTATATGTTTGTATGGTGAATGTAGAGAATTGGAGACTCTTTTTACTGGAAACAAGACATTCCATCATAGTCTTCACTTGTGACAACTCATCTGCATTTTGATTCCTAATCAAAGATAAATGTGGATATCTACTGAATAGATCCTTTAATTAGCATCTCCTTGCTATAAGTACCTTCTAGGGTATACTTTGTGCTGAGCTTGTGTAGAGTAGTAAGACAAAACTCACACTTACTTAGATGACATGTGGTTACTAGTTATGTGGTCTCTAAATTTGTAGTCCAGAGCTACAAATTTAGAGATTTCAGGATCACTCCCAAGATTTTTTTATAGGATAAGGTGATAAGCACACAGTCCACCTGATGGTAAGTGGTTGCTGTGGCTCATATACATCTACATCTATCCTCAATTATGAATCAAAATGCAGATGCGTTGTCACCCGTAAGGACTAAGATGGAATGCCTCGTTTCCAGTTAAAAGGGTCTCTGGTTCTCTACACTCACCATACGAAACACAGTAGCATTAAGCTACTATTTTATGCTAGTATTCCGTGAGAACGTGGTCCTTTCCCAGTTGAGCCGACCCATTCGTGCTACAACTATACTACTAATATAACTATGTTCTATTAGTAGTATAGTTGTAGCATGAATTGGTCAAACTATATTCAAAACCATAGTTAAGTTAAAAAATACAACAAATTCTGTCTACACTCAACAGTGGCAGATTAACCAGCAGGCTTACTAGGCTGGAGCCTAGGGCGGCAAATTTGAGGCAATTTTTTTTGTCTTACATAAATAATAGAGATTTAAATTTTAAAAAGAAATATTTTCTTCCACTACTTCGGAACTCAAAACACTTTTTTGTTCTGTGCTCTACAAACTATTTAAATTTAATGGCAACGGCGGCTGCAAAATTTTGCACAAAAGCTTGTCGCTTCTTCATGTTGCTTCAAGAAATATATATTTTTTTTTATAAGTTCAACACAATGCTGGCAAAAAATAATGACTTAAATCAAGAAACAGAAAAAGCTAAAGAGAGTAGATCTGACATGTTGGTCAGCTAGAGAGGATGCATGTGGATGTTTGAGACATTCTTGATACAAAGTCTTTAAAACATTGGAATCAATCAATTAGGCATTATATAATAATACAGAAAAGCCTGTAACATGAAACAAAGTGACAGGAATACTTTTGAATTTAGAAAACCTGAAAATAGCAGTAATGGTTGTTGTGTGGGATGCTAAAGAGAATGTTCAAATTCAGGTTTCTACCATAGATTCGATCTTTATGGACCGCTATGCAAGTTTCTCATCGCTGAATGAGAAAATTTTAAATATTTTGAAGAAATGGCGATGGAGTTGAGCGTGTCGAATCAGTATACAAAAGGCCCTATGAGAAAGACAACCGAAAAGAAAAAATAAATTCAAATACCCAATGAAGAAATGAGAATAACCATGAGTGATATTTTCAGGGCTAGGTATCACATTTCTCTTCCTTATTAATAAACTCTTATCCGAATTAGATAAATGACAGGAGCTCTGCCACAGATTCAATGAAAAGTTTTCGTTTTTGAGCTAATGAGTGAATTATTATCATCAACTCTTACGAAAACAGCCTTTTTCTTGTAATGAGTGTATTTTTATGATTTGAAACTGACTTAGTTTAAGAATATACATTTTCAATGCCACTTTTCTTCTTAAAGAATTTTAGTGAAACCTGAATCTGAATAATTGAAAAGTCTATCTTCGTTTCTGCGGAATCAGAATTTACAAAATATTTATCTGAACTTGAACACAGTAGTTAGCATAGCTTTATGGACACTACCGATAAATTGTTTGGGTGAGAGGTGCTTTTTTTCCCTAAAATGGATGAAAAATTATCTAAGATCTACCATAGGCCATAAAATGCTAAACACCCTAGTGCTTTTGTGCAGAATCAGATGATGAACAAAATTTCATATGATGATTTTGCAAATAAAAAATCATGCAAAATAAAATTGCAAAAATTTCATTACTTAACTTATTGAATTTTATCATCATTATGAGCTGGATTGTTATCAGATAATTAAATATATTGTTTTTAATCTGTAAGCGCAAGAAAAATCATTTACGGAATGTAGGTAAGTATTACTAAATCATATATTACCCCGTCTCATTAGTATTACATGATTGAGCTTTTATTAGCTCAGAAATATACCCAGAAACTATTTTTTGTGAAATCTTAACTAAATCTTTGGGTTTTAAAAATAATCTAGGAAATGACAAATCAATCCCCTTGTTCACAATCATACTAATTATGGAAAAATTTTGGATGATAGTGCATAAATCATAAACTTACAATTTCAGTGGCAAAGAAATTGCAATTAATATGATTGTGCAATAGAGGATTGATGTGTCAGTTCCCAGATTATTTTTACAACCCAAAGATTTATTTAAGGGGAAATATTAAAAATACTACCTCAAATGGCTTAGAAAGATCCTCCGTTATGCCGAAAATATTGCAGCATTAATTTTTGAAATAAATATATGGTAAAGTTGAGGATTAATGTTAAGTAATATGTTAGATGAAAACATGGTTCCGTAAAATTTTCACGATAGATTGAAAATCCAAAGTTACCTCCAAACTGAACAATAAACCACTGACATTCATAAAATACCTTAAATGAGATCATGAAACTATTCATACTAACTGAACTAACTGTAAAGCAGGGTTTATGTTTTTTATTTTTTTTAAATTACCGTTATTTTCAATGTAAAAAGAAATTACCTAAACTATCAGCACCTTGAAGCTTGTTTCCTGCCACCCGGTTAGTCTCGCTTCGGCTTTTGAGCGGGGAAGCTGTGTCACTTACAATCAGAATACACATTACGTAACAGGATGATGTAAAATTAAAATGGGAACTAACCATAATAAAAATAAGAAGCGACTGGTTGGCGTAAAGAAACAGGCATAAATGTGATAAACCTAATGAAATAAGTATCTAACAAACTATCTGCTTACAGTATTAGTGATTACAAACATGTCGGTACATAGCATACGACGCACGGGGAAGTGGGGACGAAATTAGAATTTGAGCTATTACCACATTGCAGAAGTCGTTCATACAGCCTATTTCAGAGTGGACTGGGCTGAAGATATATACCATTCCTATACCATATATACCCTTAAGATTGCACAAGAAATTGATGAATTGCAGAAGACGCTTGGTGCGGCAAAATTAATATAGCCTACTGGCAGCAAATGTGTTGAACTGCCACTGACACACAATAATACTTAGTCATAGAATACAATAAGGAGATTGCTAGCATGCTGATTCTATTACAATTCTTTTTAATGTGGTAGAGACATGCTGCAGCTATATTGTGGTTGCAGCACAAATGGGTCGTCTCGACCGGGGTAGGATCACACTCTCACAGAATACCAGCGTAATGCTACTGTGTTTCATATGGTGAGTGTAGAAAACCGGAGACCCTTTTCACTGGAAACGAGGCATTCTATCTTAGTCCTCACTGGTGAGAACGCATCTGCATTTTGATTCATAATTGAGGATAGATGTAGATGTCTATGGGCCACAGCAACCACTTACCATCAGGTGGACTGTGTGCTAGTTTTTCACCCTATCCTATAAAAAAATATGATTATTTTACAAAATAATTGTCAGTATATATGTTTAAAATATACAGTCTCCTCTAAATATAGAGTTTCCAGCTGGTTCTACCCAGTATAGAGGTATTTTCCAAACCTGTGGTAAACAAAAAATGACTAATCTATATTGAAAAAAAATAAAATAGGGCAGGGGTGTAATAATCAGCGAGCAGTCAAGTTCTATCTCCTGGAGGGGCATGTAGTGGACTGTTATAGCTCAATTGGAATAACTGAATGTGTATAGAAGGATGATAGACAATAAGATGGATGGGTGACAGGCATGAGTTTAGGTATTGTGAAAAATATTTTACAAAATCATATGCACAAATGTCTAGGAAGTGAACTGTAAAAATTATCTTACACAGTTGACATTTTTCATAAATTTCGAATAAAATATTGATGAATGAATTGAAAATAGTGATAATGATGTGATACAATTTTGAAATTACTCTAAGTATCATATACCTGAAAAAAGTTAACGTCATTCAAAACTTACCTCTTTTACAGTTTCCAGTTTATTCTTCAGCTCAGGATCTGATCCAGGTTTTAAAGCAATAGCTACGTATTTAGTTCCAGAACCTTTCTCTTTTAGACCAGCTGGTGAAGCATCCTTATTAGCAGCATTATTTTCCACTGCAGGCTCTTCTAGAGCATCTACTGGCGGTTTGCTGGGTCCCTTAGAAGAAGATGCGGAAGGTGCTATATCAAACTGTGGCCTCTCCAAAACTTTCATACCCATGTCTTCTTCAATCTTAGCTCGCAAACGGTTTCTATCTTCCACTATATGAGGATCATCTCCTTCCTCGCCGTGGCGAACAATTCCTGCAGCAGCAAATTCTCCCACCTCATTATGCATAACAGGTGGAGGCATAAGAAGCTCCGGACCAGCTTTTTGTATTCGTTTATAAACATTATAAACACTATCATTCACACTAGTGGAATTTTTAAACTCTGGCAAGTAGAAAAGTGCGCCTAACCACACGATCGCGAATGTCAAAAGTACAGAAACGATCAAATATTTCTCACGGAGGCGAAACGATCGCCGAGAAATGGAAGATACGGGGACTCCGTTCACAAAGCGTTGGTAGGTGGGTAAAATTCCAGTCATCTTTATGTTAACCACGGAATTACCAAAGTTCTAAATTATAAATATTATATCAACTTTCTCAACACGGACCACCACTAGCGATCGCCATTAAAGAACTGACTCTTCTCTAGTATATACACAGTAATCTATGGAACTGACAAAGAAAGTGACAAATGACAATGATAAAATGCCAAATTTGTAAATAGGGTTAGGCAAAGGCATTGCGATAGCGATTTCACATCGAATAGGCTAAGAATCGATTTTCAGACCGAAACATATTGATCGATCTTAGACAATGAACCGATCCCATGAACCTATAATACACACATTTTTTTTCTCTTTTGTAAAGAAGGCAACCAAATCATAAATAAAGTTTAGCACACCTAAGCAACTGTAAATATTGTACAAACTCTTTAGAATCCTACGGCAAGATTTAAGTGGTGATTGGTGATTTCGTTGGCATAATAATGCAATGATTTTAAAGTGAAAACTTCTTGAAAATCATTGTTATTTGAAACTCGATGAAACGAAATAACGACACTAAAAAGAGACAAACTTGTATATATATATATATATATATATATATATATATATATATATATATATATATATGATTTAGCCTGCGAGAGGATAAGATAGAATAAAATGTTTATTATAAATTTATTTGTATTTTAATTACACAAACCCTACAATTATCCTACACCTGATACTCTGCATTCACCTCATTCTCACGAATTTAGTTTTTTGAAGGTTTCACTTCCAGCGCGTGGGACATGCACATACATATGTTTTATTTAATTATCTTTTAGGCTCCGAATATTTAATAAATCGCCTTCTTAGACTCTGATTTGAATATATTTAAGAATATACCTTTTAAGTGAAATTCACCATTACTGCTACTGCTTTTCTAATGAAGATATTAACCCGTAAATTATAAATAAAAAATGTACATCGATATTTCGAACCTTTTCGAACACATCGTTCAATGCATCGAGTAGTGTTCGATATATCGAATAGTGTTGGAAGCAAAGAAATGTTCAATATATTGATGTATACAATATATCAGATAAGCCGATCGAGGCAGTTAGGTTTAGGATATTTTATTGGAGCGGAGTGAAGCGTAGTACACTAATTACCTAAGAATATTCGATGTTGCAAAAACATCGAAGTTAATGAAGCGTTGCATCGAAAGCACATTAATATATAATAATTCAATTAATTAAGTCGAACAACGTCGGTGTATTTTGTAGGTGGACATCTCTATTGCCAAAGAGTAGTTATAATAAGAGAACTCCCGGAGACCCGACCCGAAGTAGTATTGACCACAGACTAATAAGCGTGCTTGCGTAGTTTTGGCGTTGGCATTAATTTGATTGCAGGCGGATTATTGCTCCTGTTTTATCGTTTATATGATGGTTTAAAATGAATTCTTATAAGTAATATTCATGCGATTTTGTGCATTGACTGCGCATGTGAATTATTAGTGTAAACAACAGGTACTCCGATGATGACATTAATTACTTCAAGTTATTTTATCCTACGCGCTTAGCTAAGTAGATATACTGCTTACGTCATCGATTGTCTACTGGCTTAAGTTGTCCCCCAAATACTAAAACTATCGCAATCTGATGCATTAAAGCGGGGAATTCACTAGACGGACATACCCACGTGCTGTTTATCCGAGCATGTCTGTCGCCGCAATACATTACACATACACAGAATCGTCACTGTCGGTTTGTTTTAGACCGGCTACGTGATTAGGTGTGCGTGCACATTAAGATGACAACCTAGGCTTTTTTATAAAATTAGGGTGACAAACGAGCACACAGTCCAACTGACGATAAGTGGTAGCTGTGGTCCATAGACATCTACATTTATTCTCGATTAAAAATCAAAATGCAGATGCGTTGCCACCCTGAGGACTAAGATGGAATGCCTCAATTCCAGTAAAACGGGTCTCCGGTTCTATACACTCACCATACGAAACTAAAGTTGTTAAAAACGAATATAAATAGCACGCTACAGACTATAAACTTCTAGCGCGCTATTAAATAGGCTATGTTATAGCGCGCTATTTATAGGAAAGCGAGTAACACGGCCGGCAAGCGCGTGAAGTTTAGCTTTAGCAGCACGCTATATCTCGGAGCACCTTAATGTGTCCTTCATTGGATAGACCGCGTGCTATATAAGAACATTATTTCGTAATAAGTCGCATTTTAGATTAAAATAAAATTATAATAGAAATAAAAATAAAATCACAATACCTGCTTTCCGGTTACTCAAAGTATATAATGCGTTCTTGGGTAGCGATATACGCTTTTATAATAAGATTCCAAAAGAAATGTTAGATCTTTCACCTTTTCAATTTAAGTCGGACAAAAATGCTTGGAACTGACCTCTCAGTCTTGGTCTTGGTCTTGCTAAAATTAGGCGGTCTTGTTCTTGGTCTTGGTCTTGCAAAAATGCAAGAACAAGACCAAGACTGCAAGACCAAGACCGATTTTGGGCAACACTAGTCACCACTAGTCCCAACACCACTACTCCCAACATCACTACTCCCGGCACCACTACTCTCAACACCACGACTCTACGGCGGCTGACCGCTAAGATCGGCTAAGGCGGCCGTAGAGTCTACATCACCTGAAGATGCCTCTTGTACAGGCGAAACACGTGTCGTATTATCGTCGATGGTGTATCTTTCCTAGAATAGTAGCGTAGGATAATTAATTCGTGGAAACCAATTAATTATTATTATCTGCTATTAATTTGGTCTCAGTACAATTTATAGTTGATTACCTGCGATCCATGTATTTTGTGATTGTAAATTAATTCTATTTAACTACTACTAACTACTTAATGTAGGAATGAATATATATACAATCCACAGATTACCTCCTAGTAGATACCGCATCATGGAATATTTGTTCTGTTTCGATTTCACCAAATTTCGGGTTGCGGGGGACGTGTCAAATGCGCTGTGATTGGATAATTCAAGGTTGAACTTAGAATGCTCCGAACCATAGTGATGAGACAGGGTTGGGACGTTGATCGATAAATTTTGTATTTCTTTATTGTTGATAAATAAATGAATTGATCAATTTTTATTTGAAATTTATTAAAAAATAAAACGGTGTATATAATTAAAGAATATATACGTGTATATATATATATATATATATATATATATATATATATATATATATATATATATATATATACACATATATATTCTTTTCCAAAAGAATAAAATAAGTTTCCGGGTGCTCAGAATAGAAACGAATACATTATACTGATTTCGCAAGGAATATTGTAATTAGATAATGGTAAAGATAGGTAGATACCATAATAATTTATTCTAGTAAGTAATTATTATAATATTAACTATATGGGTTTATAATAATTACTTACTATTATTATTATAACCTAATAAATAAACATGTTCAATAAGTTCACTGCAAATCTCGATTTTTGGAAGTGTGTGTTTTTAAACTTTCAATGTCGTCACCCATTTGAATATTGTAGACACTTTTAACACACTTGAAACGTGTAAACATTTTGTACAACGCTAATCGAATAATATAAAAAGTGTGCATATTAAATAAAAAGCCTAAAATAAGATCTATTTACTTTTTAGGAGCCCGAGTATCTCTTAGAGAACCGTTTAAAGAAATTGATTGCATCGAATTGATGTAAATAATAATGATTTGCACAATTTTAATAGAGAAATAAAAATAAAATCACAATACCTGCTTTCCGGTTACACAAAGTATATAATGCGTTCTTGGGTAGCGATATACGCTTTTATAATAAGATTCCAAAAGAAATGTTAGATCTTTCACCTTTTCAATTTAAGTCAGACAAAAATGCTTGGAACTGACCTCTCGTATTACACAAGACTAACTGGAAATTTCTAAACCGATTTGGTATCTACATATACATTTTATGTTTGACTTATCGCTTTACATAATTATAGAACTATTGTAAAAATATTTTGAAAAGAGCAACTACTGAGTTTCTTACTTTCTTCCATGATTCTTCTCAGTATAATCAGAAACCCCTGAACATGGAAAAGAAAAAATTGGGGAAAACAGTGATTATATTATGACTATTCAAAATTGTACTTTTAATGCCTACTTGAATAAAACATATTTGAATTTTGAATTTCAAACGAGTGAAGGCAAATTTAATTTAATTAACGTAGATTAATTCAATCACAAGAAGAACATAATAAACACAATTTTATTTACATATTTCCATTTAATTTTTACGTAGGCACACTATACCTATCTGGCAACGCATCTACTTTGTTAATCTTCTGAAGAATCATTAATTTTATCAAAGGATGCCGAACTTTCCTATTTCGGTCTTTCGGCGTGTACTTACAAATAGTAGTATTTATTTTAATTCCAGTCATTCCCAATTGAGCTTTGCTTCGAGTCTAATGTATTAATTGTTTTTACTCTAATCCTTGTTGTTCTCGGAGTGATAAGTTTACAATTTGACATGAGTGACGAAGAGTCGAATAGTTCTAGTCGGAGTAGTGAGAGTTGGAGTTATAGATCTAAAAGACCTAAAAGTAAATTTGATGAGTTTTTCGACATAATTCATGCATCCCAAATTGCTTTGTGTAAATTATGCCAACATAAAGAGGTTGAAATAAAAATGAAAAACAGAAACACTTCAGGCTTAAGGAAGCATCTAATATCTTTCCACAAAAAGGAATCACAGATATTTCTTCCTGAAAAACCAAAATTAAGTGGAGATATCACAAGCTTTTTAATAACCACCGGAAAAAGTGGACAGGTAAGAAAAAATATACTTTTCACACAATTACATAACACATATATTATGTAACTAGCGGCCGCCTGCGACTTCGTCCGCGTACAATATCTGATTTCCTATGAGATTTTGAAATTTTCTCGCTGCAAAAGTCTTACCTAAGTATAAAGAGGCTATATAGGTAAAGCTTAACTATGCAAGTATTTATTATTTAAAACTAATAAAGTAAATATCGATCTTCA